TGTGTGTGTGTGTGTGTGTGTGTGTGTGTGTGTGTGTGTGTGTGTGTGTGTGTGTGTGTGTGTGTGTGTGTGTGTGTGTTGATTGAATCCTTTTTTACTTTGTATACATTGGCAGCTTCCCTGTTGCAATCGGTATCTTGCTGGCATTAAGTTGATTACTGCTGCGTTGGGCATTGCAGCGCTGCCTCCCAATTGTGATTGCCTCCCAGCCTGAAGCTACTTCGCTACGATCTGGGATAGAGCTTCTATCTGCAGCGTGCTGATTGTCGAATTGTGGTTTCAAAAGTCTGTCCTGATGTAGGATAGCCGACACTTTCCTTCCGTGCTGCTCTGCTGCACCGTCGAATATGTTGTTGATTGCGTAACCTGCCATGTGCTCTTGCTGCTTGAGAGCGTTCAGCGATATGACCTTCCCAATTGGCTCCACAATCTGTGACTCACTTGTATACCCTCTTGCCGGCAGAGAACACTTCATGTGTGTAACTAGTCTATGAGAGTTGATGCATCAACAATTCACTCACAGCCTGCAATGCTGTAGGCACAGATATTGCAAGCAGCGGCACAACCGCGTCGACAGTACGCCAGCCAAACAAGGCACGCAGAAGGCCAGTTGCTGTGGCCCTTGGTGCGCCGCAGCTATCGCTGATCGACCACGTCTCAATGCCAACGCGTGCTGAGCAACGAGCTGCTCAGCAGCCGTCTCAAGACTCAAGCCCGGCTGCCAAATGCACCAACCCTGTCGCACCGTGCACGCATCGCTGACTCATCACCACCATCCCAAGCTCGTCGTCGCGTTCACCTGTGCTGTGCTGTCACAACGGAGGACGGCGACAGTGCGCACGCCTGCAATCTCGAATAACACACGTGGGATCAGAGGCTAGTGCGGCATCTCCCCCTTGCGCGTCTTATCGTAATCCAAGTTCTGCTTAATGGCGGGCGCCCCGCTGGGGTCGTGCGAGCCGGGCGCGGGGCCATCCTTGGCGTGCGGGTGGCCCTCCTCAGCTGCGTCTGGGTGGTGGGCCGCCAGATTGTGCAGCGCCTGGATGCTGTGGGTCTGCAGATCCTCGAGCGACATGGAGGGCGCCCTTGGTGCAGGAGGGGGGCAGCGAATGACGGAACGCGGACGCATGGTCAGCGCTGGGGAGAAGGCTGAGCTTTGGCGCATCGCTGCGCACTTGTTGCAGTCCCCATCACGCCTCGCGCGTCAAGAGGCGTCATGCTGCCAGCCGATTGTGAAGGGGCCAACAATTGAGGAGCGCCCTTGCGCACCAGGCATCGCGCACGTGGCTTGCACGCTAGTGTGTGGTGAACCCGCCCATGCATACCTGTCCGCCTTAACCACCGCCTCTGACTCGCTGGCCAGCCCTGGCACAGCACAGAGTGAGTGAAGCGGGGTAGGCGGAGAGCGGAGTGGAGGGGCTGATGAGAAAGCAGACAAAAGAAATTTGCACCCACAGGGCGTGATGAATGCAATTAAGGAGCTTGTTGTGGAAAGCACATGAGAACTTAAGTGATGGAAGTACCACGCGGCAGTTATGTTGCGCGATGATTTCCCCGTGGAGATACTTATATTGCGGTGTATGGGGCCAGTGGTGACGTGCTAATCCACCCGTCAAACACACACCCCCGCAGCGTGCCAGCTTCCAGAGTAAGCATGCCGCTGGCAAGTGCTGCCATGCACAACCAGCCATCCAGCCCATCGCCCATCATGATGCATGCACACACGCACGGTGGTCAGCCTCCACCTATCAACAGGAACTGACAAGAAAACCGGGCCCAACCCCTGCTGCCCTGCTGGGAGGCTCACCCGGGTTCCAGCCGGGGGCACCAGGGACCACCTCTGGCACCTTGCCTGCAATGAAAGGTGGACAAGGGGATGTGATGCGTCAGCTGGTTAGCACAGAGCGGCAGGGTTCCGGGGAACCTTGGTGAACAAAGGGCAGCAGCAAATGCGGAAACTGCACAGCCAGCCTGTACAACGCATCAAATAGGGCATACCAATTGCAAGCAGTGCAAGCAGTGCCTACGCAGAGGTATCTGATGGTGCGGGCAGGGCCGTGAAGCGTGGGACGCATCGCCATTCGACAGGCGCTGCTGACTCACCCTGGAGGTTGCGCTGCTTCTCCTTTGACAGTGTCTCGGGGCTGTGCAGGGAGAGACCGAGTGGGGTGAGGTTGCGGTGAGGGGAGCGGGAAGCAGGCGCGAACAGCATGGACATCGTCGTGTGCAGGGCTACCACAGTTGCGCGACGGCGAGCTCGCGCAGCGGCGTGTGGCAGCGACGGCAGCAAAGCCGCACGAGCGGTACGTTGCGGTGCGTCACAGCACGAGCGGCGGTCAACGCGGCAGCGGGGGCGGGCGCGTGAGATCATTACTTGTTGTCGCTGCAGATGGAACGGAGGAATCCAGATGAAGTCGATCCGCATCATGGAGGTTGGGTTGGCGGCACAGACAGCGAAAGCCACGTAAGGGTGGTCGACAGCAAGCAGTAGTGAGGGCGACACACAGCACATGTTGTGTCGTGACGCAAGACAGCGGATCGCAGTGGCGTCCCCGCACCTTGAATGGCTGCCGTGCCCCATTGCGCGGACCGAGTGGCGAGCGGCAGACAGCGCTGAAGGGGCGGTAATCTGGCTCTGGAGCGCAGCGGCGCCGCTGCGGATGCCGGCGCACGCGAGGACGGACTTGGCACAGAACAGCATCGGAGGGTGAGATATTGGCCTGAAATTGTAGATAAGTTGCGTAGATTAGCAATTTTGATCGTAAAAAGGTTGAACGCGGCCAATAAAAAGAGTGCGGTGAGGTGTGCCGTCATAGCTGCCGTTGTGTCGAAGACCCGTGCGTCCCGTGCTGAGTCGTATTGGAACGAAATTTGATCAGCGTAGCTTCGTCCATCCTTTCAATTAGGACAGTTCTTCGTTCAGCCTGCTTGATTGCGCCATCGGTCGGCGCCGCACGCAGCCCAGGGGGGGGGGAGCAACCATTTAGGAGCGCTGCACGGCACCCCCCCCCTGCGTTGACAAAACGTAGCAAGCGCTTGCCAACACCTCAGCAGGCAGCCGTCCCTGTACAATACTGCCCAGTCACATCGGACCGCTCCCGCGGTTGGGGCCCCTGCCGCCTCGCCCCTGACGAAGGCTTCCGTGCACAATGGGTGGCGGGTGCCAACCGCTGGGCTATGAGGGGGCCATAGCATAGGGCCAGTCGGCCGGATACAATGCAGCAAACACTGATTACAAGGCTACAGGCCCGCATGCATCGGGCACGTGTGGCCAACCAAGCCATCTCGTTGAGATGCACCACGCCTGTTTGATCCCCACTTTGCTACCTGGTCCATCACCAACCCCTTCACAAGCTTGCGCGTTGATCGCTGCAGATATGGTGCCGGCAAACAATGGAATCGCGGCAACTCTGGAACACCTGCAAATGCGGCGCGGCTGGTGGTCGGCAGCGCACTGCTGCGCCTGGCCAGCAGGCCGGCACTATCGAGGCAAGAGCCGGGCTGCCGGCGGGGGGCCCACCGGTGGGGCAGTTGCTGGAGAGCTTGCCTATGCGGGGCGCCGGCCATTCGTCTCGTGGTGCTTTACACATGGCATCATACGTGCGTGGTACCGGTATTGCTCAGGTTCACGAAGTGCGAAGGCGATTCTGTCTCACAATCCCGCGCCGTGCGTGCGCTTGCTGGCAAAGACAGGGCGGCCGTGTGTACCGTTTTTGCACAGGGGCAAACCACACAGCAGCACCTGCACTGCACGACCTGAACGCAGGGCTGCAAAGCACCAGGACACCTCTCGCTGGCCCTGCCAGCTCAGTCACCCCTGACCCGGAAGGACACCTCCCCACAGTCTTGTTGGTTGCCCTCCAGGGCCACGCCGCCCCCCAGATCAGCAGCCCCTCCCGACGCGCCCCCGCTGTGGGCTTGAGTGCCGTCTACATTTCCACTGGCGCCACCCCTGACGCCGTTTGGCACCAGCTTCGTCTCTGCCCGCCCTGAAAGCAACCCCCATTCGCGCCGGTCAATACAGCCATCGTCGTCCCGATCAGCCACCTCCAACAGCAATGCCATTTCTTCATCTAAGGGGCCAGCCATCGAACCGCCTTCTGCAGCGTCGGCCCCAGCGCCAACGCCCTCACCAGCTGCCGCAGCAGCCGGCGCCGTGGCGTCCACACTGCTGCTTGTGCCGCTGCCGATGGCTTCCAGAATTCGGCGTGCTGCTGCCAGGTCCACTGCAACACCACCTGGTGCGGCCAGCACCAAGTCAAAGGCGGCTGCGTCAGGATCAAGGCCCTGCGAATTGAATTAGTATGAGGGTGGGTGCCAGGGGCGGAGGGCAAGGAGGGAGGTGATTAGTCAATGCTGCACTTCGTCTGGTTGCCTGGCCACAGCCCGCGCCCGGCGCTCGCTGAACACCGCCGCCGGTTGTGCTGGACAGAGGTGCCACCTATCCTGTGTCATCAACCACATCACCCATGAAATCCCCACCACTGGCAATTCAGCTGTGCTCTGCAGATGATTGACGCTTGTATGGCTCTGGATTTTCTCCTATATATGTGTTGTGTTCAGGCTGTACAGAGTCTCTTGGGTCAATTTTGCTGAATTATTTGTGTCGTACCCCGCCCCCATCATGCAATGACGTGGACGCTTGCTGGGGGCAGGGCACGGGGCCGCCCCCCGGGAGTGGTTTTCCTTTCAGCAAGGCGTGAGATTCCGCCACTCAAGAGTGCGAGCTTGTGACGGACTACCAGCGACAGGCAGTCCACAGCAAAAAGGCTGAGGGTTCCATGATTTGACTCTTATTCATAGACATCAGAAGCTACACCATGAGCTGCAAGGTTCATACTTACCGCACCGTGTACGGTACAGCCCAATGCGGCTTGCGCTGCTCACCTGCGGGGGGTTATCCACCAGAAGATCCTTTAGGTCCTCAAAACTGAGTTCACAGCTGCCGATGTCCTCATGTGCAGCTTCGATGCAGCTGCTTCCACCTGCGACCAGCTCCCGTACCTGGTCGTTTGTGATTTCCGGGTAGAACGGCCTGAGGGCCGCCCTCAGGGCGCGCCGCGACATGGGGAGGCCTAGCAGCAGGGTGGTCGTCATTGCAGCAGCTGTGAGTGCTAGTAGATATCACCCTACAAAAAGACATGGCAGACAAAAGCGATGCTATCTGCCTCCGGGACGAGCACGCTGCCGACTCGCAAACAGCGACAGTGCTTGCCTGTAGGGTTGAGCACTAGCCATGCGCCGTGCAGCTCTTCCAGAGTGATTGGGGCCACCTGGACAGCATGCATGTGCGTAACCCCGCATTGCTTCAAGGCGCTGTGTTGCAGCAGCAGCAGCAACAGCAGCAGCAGCAGCAGCAGCAGCAGCAGCAGCAGCAGCAGCAGCAGCAGCAGCAGCAGCAGCAGCAGCAGCAGCAGCAGCAGCATACAGAGCGACGAACCGTTTGCTGCTGGAAGCACTTGCCTGTTGTGCCAACTTTCTGTCTGCCGCCACCTTCGCTACAACGGCAGCGATTTGCATTTTCGCGGCTACTTCGTGACGTCAGTGATGATCCGTTTCATCACGGCGAACATAAGCGGGGGTTTTTCAAAGTCATACTAAAAATCCTCATTGCACGGGTTGCGCGCACTCGCCGCTTGAATGCCGCGTGCTCATGGCTGGCATGCGCGCAGTCACAGCAGCATCATAGCACGGTCAAATCTAGTCAATTATTCAACAACCTGACCACCAATTTGCTCCCAGGCACAACAAATCCACGGCCCTGAAGCTGTGAACAGCCCCTGTCACAGCTATGGACTTTGGAATTATAGGACTGCCCTCATGTGCTAGTGGTCTAGGTCGATTCCCTAGCCGGCCCCATCGCGGGAGCCTTTGCCTGGTGGCCAGCACAAGCACGTGCATCAAGCTCATGTCCTGGTGTCCTTACAAGGATGCCTGCTTGAATTATAGAGTAGGATGAGAGGCTGCACACTTGAGGCTGGCAGCCCGATGCCCACAACTGTGATATGAAACGCAACCCAATGTTGTACCAAAGTTGAACGCACCCACTCCAGTGTGCACCCTCTCAGTAATCTGCACGACGCACTACAGACCCAAGGCTCCCCGGCAACAACAAAAAGGCTAGATGGCACTGCTAATGAGTTATCATCACAACGGTGCAATATGCAGTCGTATATCTGGCTGCATAACCTGTTTGGTGTCTCCAGCTGTGCTCGGCATATGGTTGTTACTGTACCGCGAGCACCAGCACCTCTGTTGCACGCGGCCAGTGGCTGGCTTGTTACAGACAAATGTGTGGTGTGCACACAAAAGGGCACAGCATCCGCTGCATCAGGAATGAAAGGTGGCATCTGCACTCCTATACTGAAAGGTGGCGAATGCCAGACCCCAGTGCTATAGGAATTGGGTGGAAATTAAGATGTGCTGCTGACTAGGGCCGCGCCTGGCTGCACCCCCTCAAGGCGGGTCCGACCGCGACCCCTCGCTC